ACCGAAGTAAAAGGATTCGAAAAACGACTTGGGAACTTGTAGACTTTATTTCGACTTGAGCGCGTGAAACATGCAATAGTTTGCCAGCTTCAGTGTCGTACACGTTTTTATGTACGGTGGCCTTTCTAAGAAAGACCCCCTTGAGAACCGGTACAAGTGGTCTCTATTTGAGGGATCGACAAAATCCCCAGCTTTATGTGACAATAGAATGTACCCGAGATAAAATATTTCTTTCGGAAATGTGTTATCAGTTAGTATCTTTTGTCGTCTGTCTACTTGGTCCCAAATGGAATAAAATTTCCAGACGATGGTTGATAAAAGTGAAGCGCCACCATAGACCTAATTACTGGTCGTTGGTCAGATAGCTTTTGATCTGTTTGCCGACCTAATTACTTGTTCACCGAGTCTCACTGAAAAAAGTAGGTGAGGCAAATACACTCATTTGCATAACAATTTGATTTTCACACGAAAATCGCCTGAGACCCAGCTTAATCTCCCGTTCATGATGTTCTTCAGCTGAATGTGTTGCGCCAGGGCGCCTCATATTTTAGTTGGTATGATATTCTAGATATCGCAATTAATTTAAGGGCATCATAGACAAGAGACTCCGCTGGTTTCAGTTGAGCCTCCGATGAGAACTAAACTGGTGTGTACATGAGTGTACTTGCAAAATTTTGTGCAATTTGGAACACAAGTTTGATGGGAACTCGCGGACTACGCCTATCTGATGAGCCCCAAGAAGCGCGAAACCGATCGTGGGCTGTCGAATCCCTATGAGTCATGTGTTACGTTTACAGGTTACTTATGGTTACTTGTCATTTGCTGCTCGAGCTATATGGTTAGTCGACAGATTCATCACGGGATGAGTTTTCACCTTCAGTAAAGTAATGTAAAGAATTTCCCGAAAATCCGACGCTGACCAATTGACCAACTATCAAACCACTGTTGGCGAAGATTAGGTTTCACCTCAATGCCGATGAAGTACGCTGTCGGAATTGAATGGAACTAGTCAAGTTGTTGGCGTGTTGGTGTTTTTCCACGCCTGAATTATCAGCATTCATTCACCTTGTAGACAGCCTTGGTGATAACCGGCCTGGCCGTAGCATTATTATTTTAAGCCAACACATTGATCGGATTTCGGACGCGAGAGACTTCTATGGAAATTTAAGTGAGAACTAAACAGACATTTTGGTATAGAATATTCCACTCAACAGTTACCAATGCGATTCAAGAGTGTGCAAATTGTGATGCACATCACTTAAGAGGTATTTGAGGAAACTGCAAGTGAAAAGTACTATGGCCTAATTAATCTTCAGTGTAACTGTAACTTACATCGAGAATCGTTCAAGTCTCCACAGTAGCTGATCAATGTCTCTCGATGAACTTTCGACTGAACCATACTATCTTCATTTTACCGTTGAGTGACACGAACGACGTGATCGTCTAAGGACCTGGGTTGTACAGCCACAAAACTGAGCTCTCATTGTGTGATATAGCCCAGAGTAGTAGGTGGACGCAGCTCTAACCTCAAAAAAAGGTAACTCACCGTCGGTCGCACGCTTCTTCGTAATACCCCACTATTCTTTTGCATGATTTTATCACATATGTTCCTGTAGTTTATTCACAATAAACATAAACATTTAAACTTTCTGATGTGAGGAACTTAACAAATGAGGATGCCAACGGGGGTTAATCGGAAACCATTTGGTTTGCTGGACTCGACCGTCAGGTCTACCATTTGACTCTCTAAGGTTGCATTAAGGAGCCCGATTCAAAAGTACGTACTGACTGGCGTGACAGGTTCAGATGATGTTTCATTTTGGTTGGTTGTTTAGGAAGTGTCCGCTTGAACGTAGATGTGAACTCGGGACACATGCCTGGATGTGTCTCGACAAACTCGGAAAGTACAAGGTTCCGATCTCGTCCGGATTCGGGAACCGTTTTCGCTTCTGCGTTGTGTACATTTTCGTCATTGTCGTTTGGACCGACAGTTTACACTGCACTAAATGGGCAACATTAGGAAGCAATGTATTGGGCTGATCCTCGTGAAGAATCTATTGGAAACGATTCACGCCAACATTCTCGAATGAACAAATATGGATTTTTGACCAGCAGAGAGTTTCTATCCCGCCTGCCCTAAAATGCTGCTATGGGTGGGGTTAGAAACGCTTGCCAACTTAGGCCACACCCGTCTAGTTGCAAGCATAAAGTCGAATCAGACGTCAGTCAACTTTGAAATTATGCTCATGACTTAAGCTCAGCAATCCTAACACAGACAGTTTAGTCCCATGAGAATTATTTTCTTTTCACCTGAGTGGCGCCTTCTTTTAGTTAACAATGTTTGGTTTGTTTTAGGTTTGTTTCACCTCGAGATATCCCAGTGGTTAAGGCGCGTGGTTCGAACGCAACCTCGGTATCTTAAACGCTGTTGTCTAGGCCTGAGCCACCTGGCTGGCAGCTCAGCCCTAATGCTTCCTTCGGATGGCATGACAACAGGGCACCGAAAGTGTTGCGGCTGAACAATTTTTTGATCATCTGTTACCTTATGGAGATGATATCTGATCACCGGCGATTAGCCGCAGCTTTATTTGAACAGATGTCACTTTTCGCGGTAGACTTGATCGTTCGGCCTTGTGTATCATTAAGAATATGCACGGATTCTAAAAGCTGGGTCACACGAGGCTTCATGTCCTCATCAGATAGATGTGTTGAACCGGACAGGAGTCCTCTTTTGTCAGGGATTTCCTAACAATCCTTGAAAGACATCAACCGCTAGTTAAAACCAAGTTTTCCGAGCTAGGAGAACCGGTCGGCTACACAAGGTCTTTTGGAAATCAGTCATGTCTTCTAACCGTTTGATGAGTCCCAATATGAAGAACAGACCTTACTTGGCCGATCTCTCCGACACATGATGAAGTATTTCTTTGAAGACCCGGTTGACCAAAATAATTTGAATTTAGCACAATCCACTGTAGCATCTGTCGAATGTCTCATTCTTTCCAGTGCTTTACAGCCTCGTTACGGGACGTTGGTCATAAATAGGATGGAGAAGCTACAGCCGAATGCATTACTGGCAGCTCTGCTAGTGATTTTCGAGTGCATACACAGAAATCACTCGACCTCAGAACGATCACTCACTCCTTGACCCGTAAGACCATATCTCTCAGGCTCAAAGAATGATTTGCCCAGACGGTCAGTCAGATTTCGGGCTCAAAGGAGCCTCGTATATGCACAAACGGGAAGAGCGAAATCAGAAAAGTTGGCACAACTGGTGTAATCGGAAAGCAATAAAGGTGGTTTCAACTAGTCCGCAAAAGAAAACCCAAGTAGCCATCTCACCTAAGAATAATTTTCGTTACATAATATGCAATGTGAGTCAGTGCCTAGGTCAGTGAGCGGAATATTTTCAGCAACAGCTTTTTCGTTGCCGCTTCCTCTTTATCCACATGCTTTCTTGGGCCCGCTCAAATCCAGCCACTGTTTGTCACTTCAGTTATGAGACGCCCCCCCCCGTCATACTACAGCTACCACCTCCTCTGATGTTGTGAAGCCAAACTGCGGTAAGTGGAGCGGAGCTCTGCTAAGCTGAAGGTACCAGTCGTTTGTAAGAGCAGTCCTACTTCAATGTCCGATCTGATGACCCTGAACGCCTCTAATTATCCCATCGGCGATACCTTCGTAGCATGGCGAGAACCAGCTGACTGTAGCATGTACACGACGAAACGGTGTGCGAACGAATGCTTCGTAACGAATCGAAATCGCCAAAGCAGCGAATAAAGCTGGATAGATTGCGGTTTTTCAATCAGGTGTTCCGAAGTCCTAACTGCCTTTTACCAGAGCAAGTCCTTCCCATTCCAGATCTTTGCCAAGAAAAAACCACGGGAACAGGCCATGACATACCAATGTGAACTGAGTGCATCGTTTTCGAAAAGTTCGGAAAACAGGAGGTAGATTTATTGCTGGGTAACGTTTCGCTTTTGGCACAAAAAGCCTCGTCCGACCAAGTGACTAGGTCGCAGTCAAAATGCGATATGCATGTCTGTGAAATGTTCGCACCTCCCTGTCTGTGGCCCACGCAATTCTCCTTGCACACGACTGAAAGCCCTACAGGGTGTATCATGTAAATGTCATGTTTTCGCTTGCTGGCGAGACTATAGCTGAACTTGGTAGGGTTTTGACTGCTGGGCTTGTGTTGCGTAGGGTTTGCAATAGGCAATGTTACGTTTTCTTCCATCTCAATTAACTAATTCACTTTTGGCTTCCGGTGCATGCGACCTGTGAAGAACAGGAGACCCATTCAGGGATTTGTAACAAGCAAATGCACAGTAATTGGTCTCAATCTGACACCAGAAAGCCACGTATTTGATGAATAGGCACTCATGAGCCGCGTATATTACTGGGGCATCAGTTCGGCCACAGTTAGTTAAAATCTGTTGTGGATGACTGACAGACAGAGTTTTCGGTCTTGGGTGACCGGCTGAGTAAGTCAGACCAAACCATGAGCAGTTCCCGTCGCGTTGGGAAAATGTTGAAGGTAGTTGAACAGTGCTATTGGTGACTTTTCACTGGGTATAGAGTACAGGGTAGAAAAACAGGGAACCACTCAACATTATGTAATCAGTGTTATAGGTACCGACGAGATAGCTAACAATCTAGATAAGTGATACTTCCTGAAAAACAGGTTGGATGTTGCTTTTGTCTGTTTCTTTCGTGTAGCTGCTACCTCAAAATTAGACTATCGTGTGATTCAGAATATAATCAGAGAAAACATCTTGTGTTGGTCATTCATTCGTGCAAACTCACAAATAACTTGATCGCGGTGTGCACGCCCTAAATATGATAAGTTGTTTCCGTCCAGATGACTTTCATTCCCAAAAGTCGGCAGTTCTGACCGATCCTACAGCCTCCGTCCCGTGCGAGAGAGTTCACCTCTATTAGTGCTCTACAAGTTCACTTGAAATGCACCCCTCCAATTGAACACGAGGCTATGAACAGTATAGTAATTAAAGTTGGCGTCTTTTTTAACCTCTCGTCCAGTAATCTTGTTAAGTTATTCCTGATCTGTCAAAAATTACCCTAAGTGATGTCACTTGTGTAAGCTTTTATCTGAGTTTGATCGCCTTTGTAGCCTTTGGTGTGGTTTCTTACTCCTAGTCTCTTGATCAACCCCGGAGAACGATAACTGTTAGAACCGATCATGCATTCTCTCCTTGAAAGCATATCTTTTGGGATTCACATTCCTTTGGAACGATTGGACATATTTTAATGCAGTGTTGTAATTGAATGCTGTAACACGAAGAAGAAATCAAATCGAAGTGTCTTCGTATGCTTTCGGAAAATAAAATGATCTTTTTTCAGAAAGGCGAAGGATATCCGGTAGATGTATCTAGCGGTTTGTACAAATTTTGCTGTGTGGTTGGAGACACACGTTGAATCACCGTTATCCAAAGTAGACCACTCAATGAACAAACGGGAAAATCCTTCAAGGTCTTCTATGTCCTCTTGTCAACTGAATATGATTTCCGGTCCGAGCTCCGCCTTCCACTCATTCGAAGTGGTCTGTGTCCTCCACTGCTTCAAGGTTGTCTGTCGTTTTAAGAATGACCAGTTTATATCCCCAAAAATACTTGGCATATTCTTCCGATTTCAGATTCTCTTGAAAAAGATGGAAGATGTTGCCGTGTGGCCTGTTTTCGCTCCTGGGTTTTACTGATGTTCATTGTACTCGTCTATTGTTGTTATGATTTTCTCAGTTTTATAACGGTAAGGAAATGCTTTCAGTTCTTACCAGCCGTAGAAATCACTCAATTGGGATCCAGCCTGAGAGTCCAAATTCCATGAGTCATATCATCCGAGAACTAGAAGATGAAGCCGATGAAATTGAGCAACATCACATGTTAGTTTGCTTCCTATCCTTTCAGCTTTTAACTTCGTGAAATAACGTAGCATGGTGTTTAGTCACCCGGTAGATACCTTCTAGTGTTACCTTGCAGTACTCAGTGACATTGAATGGAATGCAAGTACCTGAAATCCAAGATGCGAATAATACTAATCAATAAACTCCCTCCTAATTACTCTTCTACGGCTGTAGTCTTGAATATAGTTTGCAAGACCACAGAGTTTTTATTGTCACACCCAAAATGTTATGCCTTTCCTGTCCATTCGACCATAACATACCGCTAACACGCTTCCATAGTCGCATCGCGAACATTTTATGCTTATAGTTGTCTATTCACTCATCCGGAACAGCGCTGTTGAGAGTCTTCGCTTGAATGATTCGTTCCATTACGCCACATATACCAGCACGAATTCTTTAGACTCTCAGTCTCCTTCCGGCAGGCCTGGGGCTTTAGTTAATCCAGTAAAACCCCGAGAATCGGGTTCCACGAGGGAACACACTAATCATCGACAATCCACACTTTCGTCCCCCTTCAAGCTCATCAGGTAGGCGCGCTCCCCGAGTTTCCATCAATCTTACGTTCTACCTGAGCACCAAATTACGAAGTAGTTGAAATGCACTCATTTACACACTAATTTGGTTTTCGCGGGAAACTTATCTGCATTTCTGCTTAATCTCTCGTTTATGATATTCTTCAATCGAATGTACTGGACGAAAGCTGTCTCATGTTTCAGGTGCGTGCAGTATAGGTACTTAACGGAACATACTACCACTGATGAGCCCCAAGAAGGGTGAGACCGTTCGTGGCCTATTGAAAGGCCTTCGGTAACCTCATGAGTAGTATGTTCCATCAAGAAAATGTACTGCGATATCTCGGGTAGACTGAAACTAAAACATGAGGTGGTATTTGTGCAGCGCATCCAGATGAAGAATTTCATACACGAGAGATCCAAAAAACTCGCCTTTCCGTGAGAATCGTAATATAGTTGCATCTTCCTTGTTCTTACTGTCAACAATAACGCCAAACTTTCGACCTTTGTGGTTACTACAACCAAATGCCATTCGCAAGACGTTATGGTGTGTCAGCAAATGTCCCCGGTTTCCTTGTGTCTATCCTGCGGTGCTTGCACTGGGAGCGCTTTCTTTTTGTAAGAGAGTAGGACAAATGTTATCAATAGCTTATCCTGATTCGCGGTAGAAGTATAATTCGCGCTTTCTTTTTGTAAGACAGAGTAGGACAAATGTCATCAATAGCTTATCCTGATTCGCGGTAGAATGCTGACGGTAGCGGTAATCACTGACTGTTGCCTTGGTGACCATATGGGATGTGCAACTCTATGCGGGTGGGTAATAATTTAACGCGCCTCCCGAGGCATTGTACCAATCTTGTTGATGAAGCGTTTCACCACCGTTCGTTTCCGTCAGATGTGTTCTAGGCGTGTGCGCGCACACCGTTCTGAAGGTCGTTAACCCCCACTCCTTTTATGTCTTTTCCGATGACTGTCTCACTTCAGTCCCTTCCGTTTCTCGTTTCTCTCCTTAAATTGTTTACCCTTGTTTATATACCTTACCGAAGTGGATCAACGGATGTGCGGAGCTTGGCGAACACTCCGTTGTGAGTTGAAAGTAAACAGTTCATGAAGAGACTTATCCTTATCGTGATATGATGGTTTGCCCACCTCCATAACCCATTAGGCTTTGCCGAAGAGTGTACGTGGGACTCACAGAGCCTGTCATGCCAATTTGGCTATGGGTGGACTTCTAGCTAACACAATCTCCTGGTTTTACAGAGTGGGATTTGGGAACTGTGTAGCAACTCGCTCCTTAAAAAAAAGTAGACTACTCTGACGGTTCTACGCTAAATGCCGCTCCTTCACAGTTAAATTTCTGAGCCAAATACTTTCATTGAGAGCTCTAATCGCCCTCCTGTCTAAGTGTAGACGCCTTGGCAGTATACCAGCCCACGTACATCAATGAATTGCTCATTTACTAATAATCCTGTGCCATATCGGCCGCCGCGTCGCCTAACTGCTTACAACAGAGCGAGTAAGCGAAAACAGACTGACGTTCCCCTTCCTTCTCTTTTGCATATTCGTTCCCCCCCTTCGCTTATCATGTTGCTAGGCTCATCTCCATAGGCCCATTTTTAGGGACTGATCGATTCTTTCGCCGACACTTACCTTGGCCGTTGTAGACACTTCGAAATCATTCTTCGAGCACTTTCACTCAGTTCACCTGGCAATGTTTAACGTTCGCACCCGGACAACAGAGTCCTCTCGCTTTGTGTGCTGTGGTCGCTTTCTATTGATGCGTACTCTTTGTCTACAACGAAGATTAGAGGCCGATGGACGATTGATGAACTGACTTCCCCATCGGTTTCATCTCGCTTCCGGTCGCACCCGTCTGGCGATCCAGAAGCTGTTGCCGTCTACAACGAAGATTGGAGGCCGATAGACGATTGATGAACTGACTTTTTCATCGGTTTCATCTCGCTTCCGGTCACACCCGTCTGGCGATCCAGAAGCTGTTGCCTCTGGTTCTGCCCGTATTGGTATTGTTCTAAGCCACCGAGCTGAAGGGTCACTGGTCGAATGGTTGACCGCTGAAAGTCACTTATGCGTGAATCGTTTGACAAGGTCTGTGAGAGTATCCCTTATCTATTTTTCTCAGCTGCTTACGCTCTGATATTCTAAGGCAATTTTTACTATGTTTTGAGCGCATTGTTGCTTCGAACTACAAGCTCAGATATTGTTATGGTTGTCGGGGATATAAATCCGCAAGTAGATTGTCTGAACGGTTCTAAGGCCCAACTAGGTAACTATTTTGGACTGGAATCGAGACGAACGGACGATACCTGACGTTTCAATTATATGCGGATCATATGCTGTTCCGGTTCAACAGTAACTTTCGAAACAATCGAAGATACCTGGATACATGGTGCCCCCACGTGTGAGTGAACTTCCAACACAGAGAGACCACATCGCCATTAGCTCTAAGTGGTTTGGTGGATCCAGTTAGCTGAAAGGATGTAGGAGGCGGGAAACTCCGGGTGTGTGCGTTGACTATTCCAGCTGATACGCGCAATAGACCCAAACAGGCCTCTGGCTTGCAAAACAATCGCTCAGCATACAATTCGCTTGTCTTTAGAAAAAAGAACGCCTGAGTCGTTAAGTTGAAGATTTTCAACACCTACCGCTGCCCACGCGGGTTCTCGATTTGCAGTGGATCCTTGCCCAGTGAAATTGCAACCCTCGAGGACCTCGGAAGTTAGCCTTTTGTCCCTCCAGCTTCTATTTGATTGAGACCGTTAGTATCACGTTTCTGAACTTAACAGTTTGCGCTCCAAATCACTTTTGGTCCCTGTTTACTTTGGACAATATAATCTGAATGACTGAGTTTTTGGATGGATACATTTGTTACGTGTGAGGCAGAGTAAAAAAGACGCGACAGTAAATCGCTGCGCACAATAATATTCTTCGTCAAGTTTGTTATTATGTGTTACTTGTCCCGGTTTTCTACACTTTGGTTCTGAGCACTCACGTGACCTCTATTTCGGATTCTTTTTGGTTCCATTTTCCTGTCATACCGTCAAGCTGCGAATGTTCGAGCCGGCTGAACTCTACACTAAAGCATGGTCACTGTACGCTTTTCACATTGGGGCTATTAGTTATCATTTTCTGTTTAGTCCAGTTTCTAGAAGCCTACATTACTCTTCCGTTTCTCGCTAACTGACCACATTATCCTGATCATGTTTTACCGCTTGCTGGTTTAGAGTGACAACGACGGTGAGACCAATGACCCAAAGCTGGAGAGACAGGTTGAAATCATTCGCAATTTGGTTGATTCCTACATGAAAATAGTCAACAAAACCCAACGTGATATGGTTCCCAAGATTATAATGGCTGAACTTGTCAATGGGGTAAGTAACGTCCGCTTGATCCTCATGTAACCACCGTATGAGCTGTGTCCAACTGAGTTCATTGAGAGAGTTCGTTGAAAGATTTTGTTGCACGATACCACTCCACCGAATCATCCCATCGTGTTTGTTCTTTGAGAGTAACCATACCATACCAGCGCAACCATACCATCCCTCCTGTTCGAATGATCTGGAATTGTTCCCATCTACCGAAGATTACTAATACAGTTCAGCCAGCATAGTCGCCGTATGTCGGCTTTCATCCGAATTCGCACGGTAGACTATGATCAAAACGTCTGCCTTGGGAAACAAAATTTAGTGGAGCTGATCACTGCCTACCCGGTTCATACGCTGTTCGATCAGGTTATACCCGAAAACCCACAATGTAACTTATTTGGGATCGATCACGTAAACCTCTGGACTTCGTCCGTCGGATCGATAATTCACGGTTGTTGCGACTGAGTTGTTGTCGCCTGGTTTCAATGTTAAACGCACCGTCCAGGGCTGGTTCGCTCTTTATGATGGAACTATTATTACACTGACCGATTTGTCTGCAGAAGTGATTCCAATGTATTTGACACGTGCTCGTGGATAGGATTACTTTGGGAACATTTCACCCCAGGTTAGTTTCACCGCCACTGAAGATAAACTGTTGTACGATTCCGTACAGTCAGATAGTTTTCCCGAATCCCGTCGCTAACAGGTTAGCTGTTTTCGATTATGCTGACTTGCCGTGTCAATTCACTCAGAATAGCCGAGAACCACTGTCCAGCTGTCTCATCCCTATCACAAAGAAGGACCATTGATGCACCGCTCGCGAAAGGCTCGAACTTCTGGCCTTCTGGTTGAGAATTGAACTTTTCGAGCCAGTAGTGTAGGCAACCCTACTCATCGTTCGACAGCGCAGGCAACTTGCTGGGATGTGAGCTCATGTGATTTAGTAGGATGTCCGTATGTGGGTTGATCACTTAGCTCGCCTACCGCCGCTTACTCAAGTCCTGTGCTCTGATTCCTTTCACTCAACGAATTCATTCACGAAATCCATTTGATCCGGAGTTTACTCAAATATGCTTCGCTTTTGGGTCACCCTTGGGTTGTTGTTCCTGAAGTCTGTCAATTGGGAGTGTCTGCTTATCGACAGCCTCCTTCCCAGTCATCTTATTTTATCTTGTTGATGTTCTCCCCCTTTTCAAAATTGCTTCACTTTGCAACGAACAGACGACTATAATCCCTCAATAACGGGGTCGTAAACAGTTCTGTGCACCTGTTCCAGGTTGAGCGTAACCTCTTTATCCTCACCTCCCCCTCCCTATCACTGACAACTCTGTTCTTTCTATCCTCCCAGTTTGTAGTTGATCTAAACAACAAGTGTCTTGGTAACTTGTGTGTCGGTTGTACTCATACACATCCGGTGCCTGTTGTTGTCAGTTCACCATACAAGTCTACCGCACACGTTCACGTAACTACCCATTCTGTGGCAGTATCGTCCACCTTCAATGTCCCAGGGTCGCCACGGCTGATTTCCTTTCACCTCACCTATTGTTTTATGTAAATTTTTCTCTCTCGCTAGTTCCCGTGTGTTAAGCCTCTGTAGGTACAGGGCGCGGCCTTCTACTGCTGACACTGCTATCTGTTTTCCTTGGTCTGGTCTAGGCATTGGGTAACTCCTATTGTCCATTCAGATCGATTACCCAATTGTTTTCGATCGATTGCCTTCTCAAAGAATATAGTAATTATCGCCAGTTACGCCTTGTCGATACACACACCCGTATTTGAATAAATAGCCCGGATTCTATCATTTTCAAACCCATGTTAGCGAGTGACACTTGAGGTTATGGTCCGCACGAAAACCTAGAATTGGCTCTTGCTCAGCAGCCGGACGAAATTTTCATGTATGTACTCTTGAGCCAACTTTATTGGCCAGTTGTACATATCAAATCCTAGTACCTTGTTGTTGGAATGTGGTACACTGCTAAGAGACGCAGCCGAGGCTGTTTTCCAACATCGGATGCGGCAAAAGTTGTGGGTGATGGAATAACGGGAGTGGCTTGTGGACCCTCTGGCCTCATACTTTCAAGCTGTAGTTCGGCCGAATCCCATTACTGACTGTGAAGGCTCTCACTTCATTTAAAACAACTCACCCGATATATTTAAATATTTTGGTACATCAAGGACAGTGTCACCTCAATGTGTTGTTCCTCTCTGTCATTCCCACTATCCCCATGATGGTTCTTCATGGTTCTCAGTACAAGACTAGCTTGGTGCAGACTTTTATTTTTAACCTCGTGTGGTTTGAAGACCGGAACTATCACCAGTTTGTTGCGCAGTTGCTAGGCTACGGCTCCACGCTGGCAGCTACACGTACGCACGGTCTCAAAAGCGCGCACGTCAACTGTCACTCCTTTCGTCACGCCTAAATAATCGGGTCCGGGTGGGGACAAACGGACCTAAAGAGATGTTCACTTGAACTAATGGTTATCGGGCCTTGGCCGTTGTCTGCTTTCCTGACCCACTGAGCACTTAATGAAACCCATAGTTTTCCTGGTCAGATGCATATACATGACTGGCATTGTCCAGGTGCGTGTTCAGTGCTTCTGGACTCGACTCATCGTACCATGCTTAACACCTCCTTGACAGTCTGGTGTGCAGAAAATCGGCTTTGTTATGTCACTGATGATTGCAGTTGGCGGTCGTGATCAGCATTTAAATATCATATACTATGTCTTCAGGGGAGAGGCATGTAAAAATCTATTTTTGTGTACACCTCACATTCGGTCTCTTTTGTCGGACAGATAGTTCCTCTGTGATTTACTTTCACAGGACCACGTGTCTTAGAGTTTATTGTGGCCCAGACCCATTACTCATCATTAAGCAGCTGTTTCATTGCTGGAGTGCATTAGCGCCGCACTCACCGGTGAGGTTCGAACCATGGCACAGCAGGTTATGTATCATTTTCTCCCCAAGCCTCCAACCCATTTAACCCATCGCCCGGCGGCTGAATATGGGGAAGGGGCCCCAATGCTCTGTTTCATGTTCTTTTCTCCACTGTTTAACCGCTGAGGATCAGTTTGTCTGAGGTTGTTTCGCACAGAGGCTAACATCTGCCATACTGTCTTGCTCGTGTGCGCAAATGTCCGGATCATTGAACAACGGGTTACCGCACCAATTCAACGACTCACTCCAGTACCACAACATAGTAGCCAGCCCAGTAAACCCTAGAGCAAGCCTTATGCAATTTAGTAGCAGATGTACAGTGAGTACAAGCAAAAATCCGACTTACTGGAGGTTGTATGCGAATGTTTCGGACCCAGGCTTTGTCCTTATTCTATCTGGTGAGGATCAGACTCAGATCACTGAGATCCGGACAAGGACCAAGGCCGTTTAGTATAGTTAAATTAGCTCGCTTCGGAAAAGCATGATCCTCGTAATCTCCGGACCGGCTTATAAATATGATTTTTACCCCATAAAACAGGTTGTTTTCTCATCTTAAGCCAAGAAGCACTGTACGGTTGTCTCGTTGAGAATTGTACATGCTTCTTCTACAGATTGCTGAGTAGAAGGATAATGCGCAAGATAATTCGTATACTGCCCTTCAGAACCTGTAGGAACGCGACGTCATCGCGTGATGGTCTTCTTCCACTACATACATGTCTCCTCCCAGCTTTAAATTTGCTCAGTGGTACCAAACTCCTGTGACCTCTGCATATAAACTAACCTGGTTCAGCCTGTTAATTAAGGTGGTGTGGGGTGGCGTCCGGATCCACTTGGCGTGGTGGATTGCAATATTTAGGGGTCAGTTGGGAGAACGATTGATGTTGTTCTGCCTCTGTACTCCAACAAGCAGGATATTCACTGCTGACCATCTCTGGTAACAGCAGAGTTGGATCTTTTTTAAAGATATAACGAAGCCTTTTGAATGGAGTGTTTTGTACCTTTGTACTCATATTTTTAGATGTTTTCTCGCCCTGTCTATCTACTTGAGCCATTCTGTCTGTACAATTTCTACTCCTCACATAAACCTTTCTCCATCACTTCTGATCATTCAGCTGAAGGAATACCTGGCCACTGATCTTCTTCCTGTCGTCTGCAGCGAGGATGTGGTAAGTAATGGCGATTTTTGTATTCTGTCATCTCTTCCTTTCAATTGTCGTGATGTCTCATTCTGTTCCTAGGCTACTGCTTCAGAGTCACTGATAATTTCTAAGGCCTATATTCACTGTAGTGACTCCAGGATTTATCCAGTCGTGGTTCTTGTTGTTGACTGTGATGACTTCTTACGAGGGGATCACTCTGAAAGCAAACCACTACCTTAGCGAATCCACAACGGTGACCCCCATCAGCCACAGCCTAGTATGCGACCCCTCTTTAAGTAACCAATTATCACTTTCTTCCAGTGGACCTCATACAGTGGGTCAGTATTCTGTGCCCTAGGGTAACTCGACGGATATATTACTTTTGACTTTACGATGACCAATACAATACACCCAAATACTAACGCGTTCCCAGGGACGGATTGCTACCAATTTCCATCAACTCCAGACTGGTTGCCTTTAATTTTCCCAAATCTCTTGTGAATGGCGTGTAAGACTAATATTTAGACGGTAAATATTCGGCACACTCGCCTACCAGGATGAAGTCCTCATGAAATTTCCTGCACTTGTCCTGATATTTGGCTGGAGGTACCGTGGGCTGATTCACGGTAATCATTTTGCCTCCGTCCGTAAAAATTCGACAGTTACAAAGTTTCACAGGAAACGGTGAATGAGTCTGCCAGATTTCCGAAGTTAGTGGTTGGAGATTCTGAGCGTCAGGTCAGAACGTGTAAATTCACTCGAGTGGGAATAAAAGATCGTTGGTACTCGTCTACCTCGGAAGTGCGTCTTTGTAAGGGCCAGATAGCCCAAGTGGTTACAGCGCGAACTTACTGATAGGAAGGTCCGTGGTTCAAACCCAACCTCTACCTACCTCCGTCCCCTGTCTAGGCTTGGACAATCTGGCAGTATCCCAGCCCTCGTGCAACCTGCGGGTGGCATGGTAGTTAGCCCCGGAAGGGTGCTGCAGCTGAACGCGTCTTTGTAATTATTCTCCGTTTATCTGCGATCCGAATCGGCAACCACCCCAGGATGTTGTCATTGGACAGCTCTTCATAGCGAACCAACACTTATTTCAACAGCGGAATCGAAGGGTATCATTAAGCTGGTGCTGTTTGACACCAGAACGCCGATATCACTTTTTTCACTTTCAGCCACATACCATTTCGAATCTGAGTGTTAACCATCCTAAATTCGCCTACTTTCCCCGTAAGACTGGCCTCTACAGACCATTCGAACAACATTAGGAGCCGTTGAATAATTATCTGGGGTTGGACTGCTGGATGGTAGCTCAGTCATTCCTTCGATTGTTATGGCACCTGCGCATTAAATGTGTGTTACAGATGCAAGGTTATTTCTTATTGTCGCAAAACAGTGTTAGGGTCAAATGCTGTGCGACATATTGGTAAAGAGAGTATAGTACAAATGTCTCTGTAAATTCTAGATTGAAACATATACATGTAAACTGGCGCTCCGTAGAAGAGTAACCAAAAGATGGTCAGTCTCTTTCCATTCGATCGGTCCCGAAGCACCTATCATCTCATACATTAGGCACAGTATTGGCCACTGAGGGAAGCTACTCACCCCAACTGAGCCCCGTGACACGGCTTGGCCATACTTGTTATTGCTGGACCCTCAAGGCCCAAAGTTTCTGGACTCAGAATACTGTTTCCACTGAGCACTCGCTAGGCCAACAATGTGAAAACAGGTGTTGGTTGTTCACAGGACGCTCAAGTGAAGAACGTTTCTATCCTAACTCGCAAAACCAAATTTATTTGTAAATGAGTGTACTTCGCTAATTTCGTGCAATTTGGTTTGAAGTGGAACATAAGGTTGACGGAAACTCGGGAACTGCGCATACCTGATGAACCCCAAGAGAGCGAAAACGGTCGTGGGCTGTCGAAGAATTTTCAGCAACTTTATGAGTAGTGTATTACGTCCATTCCACTGGTTCAAAAGCTAGGTCAGGAAAGAATTGCGTGTTTGGGGGTCTTCCGTTTCTGTGTTAGCGCTGTAAACAGCACAGATTTACCGTAAATTTGTCTGAATCTATGGGTATGTGTACAAAGTAGCTACGGTATTTGGGCAATCAGCCGAACTCTAAGTGGTAGCACCATCGATAGACTTTACTATTCTCGGACGCCGTTCGTATCGTTCAATCCTTCGGCAGCTGTACTCGGTTGGGGACCTTAGATAAAGTGCCGACTACCGTGCAGGTGTTTTTTACACCCTCTCAGTCACTGTCCTTCTTGTGTGTTCCAACCGATTTCCAGGTAGGTCGATAAAATCCAATTGCTGGTTGCGTCTTCGCACAGCTAGTAGCATTGTCGTACCTTTCGTTCTGTGTGCCATAAGTTGCGTGCATACCTGTCTTGATAGAATCAAGTTTCTCACTTTGCGTAACAGTATGTAGTCCAGTACGTTTTTTTCACCATTCCATACTGCTTCCATATGTGTATACTTTTCTAGTAGTGCGTCACCTTCACCCGTCATTTTTCGACCTCAGACGACTGTGTGCGTTACAAATCGAAAAATAGATAGCTTAAGTTTTTCCCTCTCTTCTTGATATCAGCACATATCTGTTCATATTTCATTCCAGAACTTACTTATGGAAGAATCCGAAGGGGAAAAGAACCGTCGACATGAACTGTTGCGAATGAATGAGGCGTTGAAACAAGCACTGGCAATCATACGTGATGTGCTGTCTAACACTAAAAGTGCACCACTTCCACCTCCCGTGGATGATGACTGGTTGGAACCGGTAGGCTTCCATCTTCCCCCCAGCTTAGTTTTGTTTTCTTTGGATTCTATAATTTTTTTGTAATGATGATTTTTATTTTTAAACAGGACACAACCCCTAATGGACCCGCTGGCCGACGACCACCTAGCTCTGGAAATTTCCCGGCTACTCAAGCACATCCACCTTATCGACCCGTTACCCCACCACTTACTACCATGGGAGGTAGTACGCCATCAGCTCCTGGTCGCCCGGTACCTTCGCGACCCGCTCCCAACCTACCTTCACGCGGAAACCCACAATTGCTGGCTGCCCCGCTTTTACCACAGTACGTTTGTGTGGATGGTACTTCTCAAATAGTGTGTATTGTCTATCTTGCCCAGTTCACCTTTACCTTTCATCTTGGCTTCATGATTCACGTTTTTTGGGCGACTTAAACAAGTTTCTCTTATCCATCTTTGGACACCTTTATTTCATTCTATATATGAGTAGGTATAGGATTGAGTACGGGATGGTTTGAATCCTTTTACAAGACAGTCAGAACCCTGCCACATTCGTGACTGCTCTTTCAAGGTATTGTCGGGTATTTTCGTCCAGTTGGTGCAATCGGTTGGCTGTCACTGATCTGATTGGTACAATAGTACTTGCTAGTTTGGAATTCAAACCAGCTCCAATGGTGAGCCCAAGGCTTCTTTTTCCACGTCAAGCCGTGTTCATTTATATTCTCGTCATTCTGTGGTCAAACTTCGAATTAGGTTTTTTCAAACTGTCTAGACTTCACTCTACCATGAACATCCTATACTTGAGTTGTCTTCAGTATTGCGGGCTTAGCGAGGATGATATCCGTTGAGTTATGTGTTCCCAGTCCATCATCCTCCAAAATCGACGGAAACACCGGCTCCGAAGTTCAGCTATGCCCGTGGTAGTGAGGAACTGGGTTCTAGTTCCTTGATTCCCCATTTAGAACCTTGGTGATACGTCTACCAGAGTAAACTTATGCCCCACCCATCCCCAATGACACTTTTCTAGATACTAACAGAAAGCCTAATCAGTGCAATAAGTTTTCACCAACCACTACTACCTTCATTCAATGTCATGCTTTGGTCTCCCATTTGCTGTCTCCAATCTATCAATACATCCCTTCCAAGGTTGTCTCACTTGTATGCTGTACATCCGCATCTTTTGTTTTTTCGTCCGTTTGCGTGCGCACTAATACTTAGCCTTTCTGTCTGTTTTGGGCGTTGCTATGCTCTGCACAGGGTTACCTAACCAGTATTTTAGAGCGTTTTCTATTTGGTAGGTGAAGCGTTTTTCCTGCTGCTGCTGCTGTTTAGTCAATCATATAACCAGTCGCTTGGCTGGAGGTGGTATTAAGGTTTGTACAGGAAGAACACTGTTGGAACAACCGCCCTGTCTCATTTCATTCCACCTCCCCCTCCCTATTCCTCATAGAAGTTACGTTTAATGGCTGGGTTACTTGGTTTTTTGTCCACCCCACCCTACTTAACAAATACTGCCACTTTGCCTTCATCCATCCTTCCTAACTAGGTAGCTACCGACTCCCTTGGCTACCGATCAAGCAACTGGAATGGTTTATGGACGTGCTGTTCGGCAAAATCACAATAATTTTGCAGCTGTTTCATCTTGGCTATGCTAGATTGCCATGGAATCATGGTGTTAAGCCGCCACCGCTACTTGGCTGACACATTCCATTCCTATCGAAACTTTTTGGTTGGATTGTGTGAGACGAAATCTCTTATGTTTTCAGCTTTTTTAGGATTGGATTGTACGGTAGATTGTATTGCGGACTGAAAAGCATATGACTCGGGTTCGATTCTTCGACCAGTCCCCACGCTGGCAAATTAGCAGCTGTCTCAGGTTTTCGTACTCCATACATGTCTTCCAGGAGAAAAAACCTATGATAGTAAACCTTGATTATGAGGGGAACTAATGGCTCAAGGTAAGACATTCCCCCGTTTAGTAAAGCAACTCGACCATTGATCGTAGTCTTGAACCAGCCAACACGATTGTTACTAGCCTACCTACAAGGACGTTTCATAACCAACATCGGTTGCCTTGCTAGATCACTCGGAATAAATATATCTTTCAACCCTATTTATCTTACACTTTACTGGTGCGCATGGTCAGAGGAAACATAGTAATGCCTAACACTGAGAAGTAAATATGTATTATTTCTAAGACCATTTGTAATTCATGGTGTCACTCAGATTTGGTTTTCCGTAACGATTCACCAACCTCATTTGCTTTTGCATTACCCCGCTCCCTCCTATCCACTGTAACTGGCTTACTCATTGTTCAGACGTTCTGGGCAGTTTGCAAATGGTGTGCACTCGTCGCACAGTACCGGTAATCTAGCTGGAATAGGTGCAGCATCTTACCATTCGGGTAGCGCGGGTGTCGTCAGTCAGGGTAGTGATCCTACCTGGAAAGCGTTTGATCCTCTACTGCAACCACCAGCACCGCCACCCAAGATTGGCTCCTTCGGAGAGCGTGTGGCCAATTTCGAGTAAGTCGTCGTGTTTCTCCGCCTCAGATTTGGCTGGTTTCCCCACCTGTCGTTCGGTTCGCATTCTCTACTTAGACTTCGCAATTTTTCATTAACGGATTGTGTCGGATGCATTTCCACATTCAAATTAATGACTCTGATCCACTTCACTACTTTCCTCTAAGTGTGTGGACGTTTAGGATATTTCAAGACCTTCGTGGTCTTCAAGGTACGTAAATGCATTCATTTTGTTAGCAGTACAGAAAATGATGTGCGGAGCGGAGGATATATGCCAAACCAATGTGCTACTGTAGTTTTTGGATTACTAGAGAGCGTTCTTATCAAAACTGGGTCAATGGTATTAGTTATGTTTTCCCCTCATAGCCTGCCTGATTGATGACATAAGCAAATTAGAGTGCATGACACGAATGAGCCAAATACCTGAGTGGAATTAGCTTGGGAGCTACTACTTAAACTCATGACCGATGGCATTTGATCCCTAACACACTCATCATTCCCGCCAAAGGGGCAATCGCCTACTCCTTGCGAGTCCCGGAAATGTGAGTCCCATCAAACGTGCCCACTCCAGATGACGTCTGTGGGCATCTCTTTCGATACACCGCCATCGCTCTATTGATGCCGTTAGTCCGATCCACCTCTCCGGACCGAGCAGACGTGGACTTCTCTCCGCTTACCTGGAAACACTGAGAGCTTTGACAATTAACGATGTCAATGTCATTCGTGCTTTCAGTCTCTCTCCGGTTTTTCTGACTGAGGTTAATGATCTTGGCACCCCAAGTGCATCCGTTCGGCTGGTACTGATTTTCTCCGCCATGATTGTCGCTCCTGTTGAAAGTTTTTATTTGAATAAGTTGAGATAATTTCGTGGTGATGAAACTCCTGTGTTCTACACTGTTGTTGTTTTCAGTACGGATGATGTCGTTGTTGTGGTGTTGTCCAGTAGTTCTACCCTCGTCATCACCGTTTAAACAAACCTCTTCTGTTACTGGGTTTGGTTATTTCAAATCAAAAGGGTGGCTTGAGGCTCAAATTTCATTCTGATTATATCCCACTTGTCTGTGCCGGAGTTTGAAGTCAGGAGCTCCGATATGCCGGACAGTTTGCGAATCCGAACTGCCACTTTGAAGAGATGAGCATGTTCGCACTTCGAGCGATATGGTGATACCGGCCAAGTAGATACACTGTAGTTAGAGAGAACTTGGATCCAGTGCTTGTTGCAGTCTAACTAGGATTCAGGGAAGATTTCTTAAACAAGTGATGTGAATACAAGTTGTACAAATCCTGCAACCACTCATGAGTAATCCCCAATAATTACTTTGAAGCGGTGGCACGCCCTTCTCCGATTTGCTTGATCGGACCCAATCCGCCGTAGAGTTAGTACACCAATAGGGATTTCTGTTCTTTAGTAACGTCGTCGACAGTAGTGAGTAGATAGTGTTTCGTGTTTTTCCTTCATATTTGGAGTGCTGTGAATTTCATTTCTTTCCTTCACAGACGACCGGCCAATGTTGCGTCCACCCCGCGAATCCCGCCAAGACCATCGTGAGCCTCTCTTGCCCCAACAAGATCCCAAGATTTCAAATGTGATTATGAATGCGACCCACTCTACCCTGCCAATTTTCACTGGTACCTTGCGCAAGTGTGTCTCTGTACTGTCATCATCCTATCAAGTGTTTCCAACCCCACATCAGTTCACTCCAGAAATGTCCTCGCTCAACGTCCCTCACCAATCCGGTCCAACTTCGTCTTTCTGGATGCGAGTGGTTTTTTGCAAACTCTTTTATACAATACAACTTGCTCATTGTCTCCGCATTGATTGACAATGTTTTCAGTAGGAAATGGCCTGTTTAATTTTATTTTCATCGTCTGGGACCAGTTGTCTCAGACCGGAAAAGCTGTGGGAAAATGACGCACTAACCATGGTGACCCAAATCTGACGATAGCACGTCCGTGCGTATACTATTTTTCAGTCTCCTACTTTCTAATTTCAACCACAATGCCCACTTCGATACTCATTCTCCCTCGCGCACCGGACGGTCCTACGCGCACTATATATACGAAGACCATCTCATTTTTGTTTTATGCACTGCTGCCTATTGACTTACTGGTTCCTGCTCATGTTTCACCGACCCACGCCTACGCACATCCGTATTTTGATATATTACCAGCACACTTGATCTTTAATTACGTTTGATACTTTATCCAACCGGCGTTTTTTACTTACATGGATTCATTGGTTGGTTGCCTTTAAATTAAATTAATAAATTAAATTGGGACGAGGTGGCCCAAGTGATTAGAGCGCGAATTTACTGACTGGAAGGACTGTGGTTCGAACTCGACCTCTGCCTCTCGACTTCCCCTGTCTAGGCTTGGACAACCTGGTAGTATCCCAGCCCTCGTGCAACCTTCGGGTGGCATCGCAGTTAGGCACCTAAAGAGTGCTACAGCTGAATGTTTCTCTTTCTTCTGTATTTTAATTGGAGATTGGCATTTCTACCATATTTCGTCATCGCATTCGATTAAATGCGCTAACTGATTAACTCTCTTATTGGGGCTTCAACTGACGCAGTTTGGGTGACTAGAGGAACCCGCTAGAGTATCGTGCAAACCGTGCTTCGGTTAATTCACTATGTTTTGGTTCTCTCCGTTCCGGCTCAACTGAATGCGTCTAAATTTCCAACTTATCCGTAAGATGTCTTGAACAGGATGTTGAGCTACACGATGGACCTCAAATATCAAAAACAAGATGTGAATTGTTAATACTACACTACTATTGAGAAATAAATTGAGTCGGGATGCGGATGACAAACCTCAGTCACTCTTGTTTGTCTGCTCATAATAAGCTAAAGAATGTTGTTTTGGTATCCAACATTCAGAATGCTTGCGAACATTCGGAGATCCCATCTGCATGGATCGCGAAAACTTAGCATCCCCTTCCAAACAAGGCGGCTTTTCAATGTCTGCTTAGCGTGCTAACCAGTGTTCACTTAATGCTCGATGTGGGGCGGAATTTCGGAACATGTGATGATGATCGCAGCAAGTCTACTAGATTAACTGTCGGCTTCAGCTCTGCATATGCCTATTTGGTTCCGTCATGTGCCGAGTTACAGTCTGCGGACAAGATCGTTGATTTCCGTTCCAATTTCGGAGTGGTGGAAACCTAGACATGTACGGAAGATACATAGCGAAGTTGATGTAACGTGAAGTGGGCTGTGTTGCTGCCGTTAGACCTTCAGGGTGTGATCCACCTGACCCTTCTTGTTCATGGCTGAAGATAATGGAAAATATAGAGGCCAACCAATGCCAGTATCGTTTGTGATTCCAGTTTCTTTCCAGATTTTCTGACTCAGTGTTGGAGCTGTAGGAACCCACATGTTCATAATAGGGTAGACTAAAGTCCACGTCCCAGCCACATTTTTCTACGTTCCGCCATAAGGCTTCGTTTAAATAATCTGGCACTAAAGGAAACTACTCACAAGGTTGCTGAAATCTGGCACTAATGTTGGTCACTGGTACGCAATCGGGGGTTTTTGCAACTGGGCAAAGTTCCGCTCTTGACATAAAATCCTCGTCAGATCAAGTGACCAGGTATCGAGGCAGACGGAGAACCAGTCAGCGGGGCTTCTTCTGATTAGCACACTAGACCAATGTCAGTTGAAAAGTCTAGTCGGTTTGTGTGGTTCCCTTAATCTTACGTTCGATCGGTTGGGGGAATTTCAAATCATTTGTGATCGGGTTTGGGTTGTTGGTCTTCCTGTTCAAGGTGATTCACTTTATGATTCACCTTGTGTGCCACTGGTAAATTTTGTTGGCTTGTGTAGGTTTGCAAGTGCTCAGACTGAAAAGTAGTTAGAGTAGTTGAAAACTCTTCGACAGCCCACGACGGTTGTGCCCTTCTTGTGGCTCATCCGGCAGGTGCAGTCCCCCGCGTCTTCGCCGGCCATATGTTTTAATTGAACCCGAATTACACGAAATTAGCGAAATACGCTCATTTGCATACCAATTTGGTTCTGTCGGGAGACTCACCTGGAACCCAGCTGATGTTTTTAAGCAACCGAATATGCTGCACCAGGCCGCCTCATGTTTCAGTTGGTACCTGATGAGCCCCAAGAAGGGCGAAACCGGTCTTGGGCTATTGAAAAGTTTTCAACAACCCTATGAGTAGTGTGTTACGTCTACACATGTGTCATGATATCTCTGATATCATGACGGCCTGGCTCAGCACATTCAGTTGCTCAAGAGCTTCATAAGCGAGAGATTTAGCTGGGTTCCAGGTGAGTCTTCCATCAGAACCAAATTGGTATGCAAATGAGCGTATTTCGGTAGTTAGGTTGTATTTGTAGGTGTTATTTAGCAATCCCTTCATCGAGTCGGGTGTTTTTTTTTTCGGGAAATCAGCTCCTCTTTCTCTTCTATAGACATCGAGGTAACTGGACGAATTCCGTCGACCTTTTTCAATTCAGAGCGCATTCAAAAGATCTACGGATGCCTCACCAATAGTTATGTCCGGATACAATCCTGAAGTTGCATCATATTGTGTCGTACTTTACACTCTCACACTTCCTGACTGTATGTCTACGAGGGGTTCACTCTTGAATCCTGAAGCTCATCGGAGTTTCCAAACAACTAGTCAGGATACCGGCACACATGAAACCGTATTAAAACCAGTAAAGCACAGATGAGCTCACAAGCCCGTCATCGTTGGCTTATCACTGTAAGTCTTGAGTTAAGTATTTGAATCACCCCGTTAGTCAATCAATACTTTCTCCTCTGCTGTCTCAACTAAGCCGGCTGAGTAAGGCGAAGCTGAATGTGCAACAGTTGGCCTATAGGCCACAAAACAACTAATCATTACTCCGGTTTGGGGACTTTTTCTGCCCATCCCAAGGGATCCAATGAGGCTACTTCCCCCAAAACATGATTCAACAACAAAGTAAGACGAAATTCATTGTACGTTTTTCAAACCTAGGTTCGGTACAAAGCCATGAAAAGTCAGGTACCCAGCTTGGGATTGAAAAAGAGTACAAGATCTCAATGTAGTCTAAGATCTTTAGTACGGTAACTGCGAGCATTGGTCTTTGTAGAGTTCCGTAGGCCATATGCTGTGAATTTTTGCACATGATAAGCAAATAAATCACTTATTAGAAGTCTATGTATGCAAAAATGGCTACCTAATATTCAGCTAAGTAGTGTTTTCAACCAGGGACGTAAGGATTCCGTAGAACTTAATCGGTCCATTCTCGTGGAAGTGAGGGAAGACCGCTTATCACAGATAGGGGGTTATCCCCAATACCGAAGAAGTAAATGTGTTTGGACACTGTACTTTGTGGATTTATACTGAAAAGTTTTGAGATTCATTGGTTAATCTAAACAGCTTAAAGCTACCATCGCTAATGATAGCGTTGGTCAGGAGGCAAATGAATATGAACCATTGCTCAAACTTCGAAGTTATCCTATTGCATTCTTGGCTATAGATGCGTTTGCCAGTTTTGTATGGTACAGTCATGTTTGTCTACCTGTTTGCTCATATATTTCATGTGAAGATGTGCCCTACTAATTGTTTTAGCGAAGCAAGATGACAAATTTGTCTTGTCCATCTATCCCGAAAATCCAAGAGACACGCTAGAGGGGCTATGTATTTTTGGGAAACTATCAGCAGTGAGCATCTTAGGAATTTTTATAAAGGTTCGAAATTTCAAACTTGTAATAGCCACTGCGATACCTTGAATATAAACTGTCACACGAGAGGTTGTACAGTTAAAGATGTATATTTATCAGCTGACGATGATGATTAGCAGGTAATGCGGTGCTAGGTGCTGGAGACAATTTGGAAATGTCAGCAACTCAGTGGACTTCCTTGCATATTGCGGAAGATATTTGCTGACCTCTACACAGATGATATGATAGAATGAACAATGTAACAGTGAAACTTTATGATTGCATAAATGCCGTTTTCTTATTCTGGAGCAGTTAACTAATGTTGGCTGTGTTTAGCACTTCCTGGTTTACCTGAACTGTTTCCCCATTATACGGAATGACAAGTGTACCAACCTATTCCTTACGGGTTTCCCTATACTGGAGACAGTATCTATCTCACTTGCCGCTTAGCCACTATCAAAGTCTAGTTGAACCTCGATTTGGACTGCCATTCGACCAACTTCTGTGCACAGCGCTTTGACTCGACTAAACGTGGATGAGACAACACTGGGGTATGCCTACCTAGGATGAGCGGGTGAGTGATTTAAGACGCAACATGCATCTGTTCGTTTTGGCTAAATAGCAGAATCAAGTCTTCCATAACTCATATGTGAAATGGCTCAGTGGTTAAAGCGCGAATTTACTGACCGGAAGGTCCGTGGTTCTAACTCGACCTCTGCCTCTCGACTTATCCTGTGTAGGCTTGGGCAACCTGACAGTATCCCAGCCCTCGTGCTTCCTCTGGGTGCCGTGGCAGTTGGGCATCGGAAGGGTGCTACAGCCAGAAAGTCAGAAATAAGTCAGAAATGAGATGAACAAGATTCAGCTAGACTTTCATGCCTTCAACTTTTTCCTCTGTCGAGAAGTGAACCCGTTCCGAAAGTGTTACATCCAACACTAGCCACTG